ATGTCTTTTCTATGTATTGATTTCCTGTAAAGACTGACTTTCTACAAAAAAATCAATATTGACTTCCCACAACAGCTTCTAAAATTTCCGAATCGTTCGTGGACTTTGCCGTGTAGGGCCGTGACCCATGTGTTAGTGGAGGAACCACAGGGAGCCATAGAAGTGCTGGATTTCAGAGCTCTGCAAGCTCCCAGGACACATCAGATGATAGTTTCTAGTGAAATGGGGTGGGGAACGCAAGTTTTATTGGTTGAGGGAGGAGCGAGTGTGGGCTTCGTCGTGGGTGGGAGATTTTGCTTCTCCGTTTGGCTAGCACCGGTAGTTGCTATGGATGTTACTTTTCGCGCTCCTGGATGTTTGCTCTTTCCTCCCTCATGTTCTGCTAATGCTAACCTTTCATCGGCATTGCTTGAAACGTTGTCTGCTATCACTGTTAATGCATTTCATGAACTGAGGCTCATGCGCAAATAGCATCAATCATTATTTCCTTGACACTACTCCCCATTTCGTTTTGAAGCCCAGCAATCGAATACGTTGAGTGCCCTGGCTGTATTTAAGTGCAGAGCTTGCGCAGTGTGACGCACCGGCACTGCTGACCTTGTGTGTTATTTGCTACCACTTAAACTTTAGAGCTATCTTCTGTATTCTAGTGGCAGGCGGCTCGCACATTCCTGGGTTCTGAAGACAGTGAGCCTTTGCACCGCTGCGATTGCGTTGGCATTTGTCGCTTGCTGATTGTTGGCAAGTGCGTGTGTGTATGTCTTTTTCGTCTTCATTTTGTCCGTACCACCTGACGCCTACTTGCTTTGTCAGCCGCACTGTCTTTTGCGTTTCCGCCTTTCTGGGGAGTCGCGCTAGAACAGTATCTCTTTCGTTGTCCTGCGCGCAGATGCTCTCAACAATCATGCATAGATAACGAGGGCGTGTATTTTTTGGAAAGTGCGAAGGCTAGATGTAGAGGGCAATGCTTTACTGTAGCGAGCTTAACATATTAGTTATATTTTGATAGGAGTAAGTAAGGGCTCGACTACTTGATTTGTGCGTTCTAACATCGTCTTCGAGGCAGAAAGGGCGTCAGGTCGATATCAAAGGACACAGAGTTGCCATATGTAACTTTGAAGGCTGCGAGCATCTGGAGGCTGCGGCACACACTGTACCTGCCTCTCTTCCCGCATGTCGGAAAGTTGGGACAGCGGCAGGAAATAGGTAGGAATTCTTTTGGAAAACGCGCTGTGACTTTTTAGTGGGTTCGCATTAAATCGAGCTCAATTTCGCTTTACAGAGGCTTCAGATAGGCCGCTACAAGAGTCCTCCTGCGAATGAATTAGGGTCTGGCCATTGAGCAAAGCGCCTGGTTTCACATCCTCCGGTATTTTGCAGTTTTCCTACAGCTTCAACTCATAAAAGGCTCTGGTCGTCGTACTCTGGCAAAAGGAGACGAACACTATGCAGTGGGAACGAAGCGAGATCGAATAAGTTAGAGTTACTTCAGGAATGCTCGGTCCCTTGCCCCCAAAAAGAAACCCGTTTGTTTCCTCGCCAACACCTTCACAGGTGGTCGTAGCCAAGGCGACCTAACCCGTAAGCTATTCTGCAGTCCGCATGCTAGAGCTTTGATTGGTTTCTGATGTGGGCCAACCTCGTGCGTAAAGGCCTACCGGTCAAGATGCCTCTCCAGCTGACCCAGTGTGAGGTTCAGTTGGGACCTATCAGGCTTGCGCATAAAAAGAGCTCGCATGCACGGCACCATGGATCTCTATTAGGACATCAGAAACATAACTAGCAAGGGCGGCGCAGACACTCAAAACCCAAAGCCCTTGCTTTGTTGGCTGCTCATCTAAGTATACCAGTCAGATCGGGCGAGGCTTTGTATACCTGCTTCTGCTGTTAAGCAGGGTAACACGTGATGCTCTGAAGAAGGACGAACAACGAAACTAGTGAAAATGAAAGTCGGGGCCTCTAAGGGGCCTCGATAGGGACAACAGCTTCCGCTACTACCGACTACTACTACCCCTACGCTCCCTTCACGCAAAACCGCCTCCAGCACGGTGTATGTGCAGCGGAAGACAAGGCAATGTGTGTAAGGAACATTTTGTAGCGGTTCCCTTGACCAAAAGTAGAATCACGTACATAACAGCACTACCCTACCCTGAGCTCTCCCCCGTTCCACGGATTAAATGCTTGGATGTTCACTAGAAATGCAAGCTATGCACTAATATGCTGCAGTGAGTAGAACCTTGTGAGTGTGATATTTTCGGCACAGCATATGCTAGCTTCTCTTTGACAACATCTCCTCTAACTTTACCTATGCAATGTACATATATGGGCGTATTGTCATTTCCGTGTACACCTATCACATATGCATATAAGGGTGCATATATGCATATATACATTAATACATATGCTTCTCCAGATTTGTGAGCAGCGGGAAAACATAAAAGCGCATTCATAATGCATACACGTGTCTGCTTTGCACCCTATCCAACACAGCCTACTGAGGCTAGCCGCTCCTACACTCTACGACAGCAAGTATTTCCCTGTGAGCTCCAATGGATCAGGACGCATCGAAGGATACTACTAGCTGTATCTCTTACTGATGCACGAAGATATCGTCGTGCGACAGTGTTGAGGAGGCCCAGAACCCTTGCTGCTCCTCTTCGTATGCACTGCTACCCAAGAGGGGCCAACTGAGCATTGCAGCATTCCGGTTTACAGACACTACTCACTCTGCTACATATGCTGTATGCAGCAAATGCACTGCACTTAAAGACAGAGGTCCCTGCAAATATACAACACGAACGCAGGGCACCCTGATACGCGGATGCCTCAGAGGAAGTCCGGGGGAAAGCGAGACGTAGTTGACGATTGCTGGTAGGCTTCTGGGGGAGGGGGCCCTGTATGATCCCCTTCCCTCTTGTAGCGCTCTTCATCCGCCTTCTGTGCTGCCCTGATAAGTCACAGCAAAGACCAAAAATGCATAACCAAAGAAAAGGTCTATGAACAAACGGAAACGCACGAAAACATACAAGCGCCGCAATCACTCGAACCAAACGAAAACGCCATGCGCACCGCTGCATGCTGTATAACTATCCGTACTCTAGAATCAGAATTTAATCTGCGGCCCTGCACTGCCCGTATCTACAGAGTGAGAAATATTTAAAGAACATTTCACGTGCACAGTGGTTTCTGAAGGATAACTACGTCTTTAGGGTTCGTGTTTACTTGATAAGTGCATCCTCCATGCGTCTGAGAGGATCCACTTTGTCGTTTTTGTGTTGTGCCTTGAAGTCGTCGGCTTCCTGCTGAATAATTTTTCCCAAGGCCACTAGGGCCTCAGCTCTTAGCCTCCTGACTTCCACTGAGACGCTCATGTCCTTTACGACCTGCTCAAATGGCAATGACATTGCATTTGTTGAGTGGTTGCACCTTTTACCTCGACGTCAGAGAAGCAATACAGTGCGAATACTCGAAGCACATATTGGCTGTTGGGGACTCGTAAGCGGCACCTTTTTCGCCGCCGCTCTGACGGTAGTTTCAATATCCATGAGACAAATGCTGAGCATTGTCTCCAGAATCAACGGCAGCGTCTCCTCGAACTGCTTTACCTGTTGACATATCGAATACTCACACTCAAATACAGCTCCATACCCGCGTGGAATTAAGGCAGGATGGACAAAATGAATAAAGAATGGCTGCTACAACACCGAAGCTTACATCTTCAGCAGTTGGCCCAGAATCAGCAGGCTGTTCTCCGTCCTTAGCCTTTTTCTTTGCTTTCTCTTGCTTCTTTGCTCTTTTCTGTTCTCTCTGCTGCAACTGCCGTGCGGCTACTGCAGCCCTCACCGCCGCGGCGGCCGTTCGCCAGCTGTTGCCAACTGACCGACTCTGGGCTTGCATCTTTGCATATCTGCATCGAGCAGGATATAAGAAGCCTAAACGCTACTCCATAATCTGATGGAATGGGAACTAAACGTTGCGTTGCCCTCTTGTGTGCCTTTTCGATTGCAGATGCCTCATATCGGAATCATTGTAAATCCAGCTATACCGGAGAACTCGCCAGGGCGTTTAATACGAATACAAACAAGCGCTGGAACAAACGCAAGAGAGCCGATTCGCCTTTACGGTAGGATGTAAGAAGATCGTGCAACAAGAAGGGAAGCACGCAGCAGACACGACGGTACAAGGTGCAGCGCAAAAAAGTGTACAGAAAACCCGTACCATTCTGCACGACACCTCTAACTAGGACGCATCATAAATGAGGTGCACCGTCAACTCATCGAATCAGATTCACGGGCATGTACCGAAATTTCAATCCAGGAAGCTGCAAGAGGTATACAATTTGGTACAGGCATTCAGTGTCAGGCAACTAAAAACCCCTAAAAAAGAAAAAAAGAGCGAAATAAAATAACCTCAAGGGCGTCGCACGCCGCACAGATAATTTGAAATGGTCGGCTAACATCCTAAGATAAGAAGCATTCGTAAGAATACGTGCATCTACGAGCGCCTGGTGTCCACATTACCTGCCACCGAGCCCCAAGAACGTGTCCAGCTTTCCAAGGTACTGCGTCGCATAGTTTTCGTAAGTCCACGCGATTGCCTCCAAGATGGCGTCTCCGAATGATGACTGTAGAAACAGCAAAAAGCATTTACGACAACCTACATAGCATCAGGATGCAGCAGTGGCTGGTTAGCTCCGCATGAGCTAAAGTGCCAGAAGCTGGACTACAGCTCAGTCAACCGGTCCACACGATTGAGAAGTTGAGGAAGTATTGAATTCCACATGTGCTTGAGGGCCATGAGGTTGCCCCACTTGACACAAATTCTTGGCCTCATTTGTCATGACACCTTTCCAGGCGTCAACTTTCCGTTGCTGCTGCGCCTCATTCTGAGGATCCTGCAGCATTGCGTCAACGTAGGGCTGGACGCGCTGCTGCAGCAGCACGGCCAGCTGTACTTCACGCTTTCGTTGCTCAAAAGCAAACATATCCTCGGAAATGTCGTCTCCTCGAAGGCCCTGAAATGATTATTGACGGACACAACTACACCTCAACGGAAATAATGTGGCGAGTCGCACGGGATGTATGTAGCTTGAAATATTGAATATTGAGCATAAACAATCGTTTCAGCGCTAACAAAAAGATTCAGTACCCCCCAGCACCCGCTCCGCTATCTCGCCGCTTCCCTGGCGATTCGCCAGTGTGTCGCCGACTCGGTTTAATTCATGGCAAGCAGCAGATAGCCTAGGGTAAATTCCGGAAACTGTGGGGCATTCGGAGTTCAAAGTGAGATACACCGGCCACTCAACGATTTCAATAAACCGCAAAGGTGGCAGGCATGCAAGAAAAGAGAGTTTGACAAGAATTCTAACCTTGCTTCCCGGTGCATCGACCATTTCCACGAACATGGCCATTTTTAGCTTTCCGATGTATGGTTCGAGAGCTTCTGATCCGAAAAGCATCATGAAAAATAAACTGCTATCGATAATGGGCATGTCCTGCGCCGCTGCCTGTCCATGCAAATCGTATTGCGCCCTCCTCTCTTCCTCCCCTAGCACTTGATACGCTTCGCCGAGCTGCTGGAACCGTTTCTTGGCCAAGGGGTCATCTGGGTTCTTATCTGGGTGGTACTTCCGCGCAAGACGGTAATACTGGCGACGGATTTCCTCCGGACGGGCATCAGTGGAAACTTCAAGAACGTCGTAAAACGTTGTATCCACGACCTTGCGCTCACCAGAGGCGCCTTGGCTTCCAGATTTGCTGCTGGCGCCCCCGATGGCACAGGGGTCTCGTTTATGAGGATTCTCGCGGTTCAGGATGTCCGCTGCCTCCTCCTGCAGGCTGTACCAATTCGGCTTCCACACCTGACACCCAGGCGAAGCAGAGTTCGTACTGCCACACAGGATGCACACGAAAGCCCCATGCAGCGCGTTCCATTTGCTAGACCAACCCCGCATGCAAAAAGCACCAAGGCCCCCCCAGTCGAAGTCGCACTTTCTCACCCTCTCTTTCTTGTCCCACTTCTTTCCCTGGCTTTTTTCGTGGATGGCCTCGGGCGTGTTGATCAGACCTCTTGTCACTTGGTAACCGGCAATGCAGATGCCCGTGATGGGGAGTGCCACTGCGGCTACTACGCCAGCTCCGATGCCCTTGAAGAACCCGCCCACTCCCTAGAGACACACACGCAGAGCGCCTCAAAGCACTATGCATGGAAGCAGTCGCGATTTCAGGAAAATTGGGATGGAACCACATGGTGCGCTACTGCGGCCTGTATGGCATTCATGTTTGCCACTGTGGTGTCGCTCGCCTGTTGTGCCGCCCCCACAGCCGGAAGAACGAAAAGCGATGCTGCTCCCACAGCGACGCCCTTTCCCACCGACTTAAGACCAGAAGAAAGCCCAGCCCCTGCGGAAAAACAGACTGAATGAAACATCTCCCCTCTGCTTTCGTGCGGCCTTCTCCGTAGCCAATCTGCACACCCGTCTTTGCCTCCACATCCTTTCTCTGCGCCTGAGCCTTCCTGCACTAGCTGTGGTGGTGCAGGACTTCATGAAATCAGCAACCACCAACCAACAAGGGGCGCTTCTGGTCGCAAGTGGCAATACGATACGCAGAAGCAACTCAGCATTCGAATCCACAGTGTGCCGCGCCAACATATATGGCCGTACGCACCTGCATCCTTCGGCTTCCGAGTGGAAAAAAGACCGCCCAACACCGTCCTATCCGATAATGTATCTGCCTCAGAGGCCTCCGTTTTCGTGCTTACAGGCACGATAGACCACACTGCATGGAAAACACAACTGAGGGGAATTGACATCCTGATCCCAGGCAGCCCCCCATCCCGTTCCGCAAACTGCATCTGGAGGCCAGTGGAACACGCCGCAAGAAGGCACATAGCGCCTGCCTAAGCATACATCATCTGAGTTGAATTCATGGGGCCTATCAACGGTAACCAGTTGAGGTACTCGAGCAGCTAGGAATAAGAGAGGCTCGGTGCACCGGAAAAACGACACTGAAAGTAAGAGAAGACAGCATGAGGAAGCGCACATTGGAGGGCGCCCTACTTAAAAGGCTTACGCTTTGGGTCATATTCTGGCTCAGTTGATCCTTCTGCCTCGCGTCGTTGAGCATGTACACGCGAGCCTTTGGGAGATTGCATGCTGGTGCTCAAGTTTCTACTGGGTCCCATGTTAGGCCTGTGTTGGTGCCCTTGTTGCTCCTCCTGTTGCTGTTGCCCTTGTTGCTCCTTACCACTAAAATGGCACGTATTTTCTGGTGCAACTTGGTGTGAGGCTCTCCGCTCTGAGTCATCCCTCTCGTCAGCGGAGGAGGCTTGGTGGTTTTGGGCAGAGGACCTTCGCTGTACAGCGGCAATGGCCACCGATCTGATGCCAGAGCGGCCAGAACCTCCTCTCCGCATGTTATCCGAATCAGCGGGGGGTTCAGAGCAAGGGCCCCACGTGTACGAACCCGTGAAGGACCTCCTGGTCCACACGAGGGACGCCCGAGGAAATAGTTTGACAACGGCAATCAACCAACCAACTAAGCCGCTTAATAATGGCGCGAGATGATTTCCTGCTGAGGTCTGCCAGAAAAAGAGGTGCAGGTGCTGAAAATACAGCTTAAAAGCCTCGTGCAGCCAACCGGCGACAGCGCGTTCCACAGTGGTGCCGCGACGGCGAAACACAAGGATGGGAAACGGTGTACTGGGTCAAGAAGATACAGGTATAGACCGGGAGTTTTCCTAGCGATGCGACGAAAGCCAGTTACTCTAAAATTGAAAATCCGGCATAACCTGGCACACCGGTACTGTGGTGTAGAAGGAACGGCAAGGCACACATAGGAAAAAAAGGGGGTTGGGAAGTTCCTCTAGACGACGAAAGCGAATAGCAACACCAAATACTAATTCACAGAGGAATTTTAATTGGCAATTGCCCCACTTCAATGACTGATGTGGCTGAGCGCATGCACCAACCGCAAGCGCTCGCCTGCTGCCGGAGGCCACTTGTTTCCAACAGAATTTGCACACTTATTAGTCTCATCACTCTAGTGCTTAGCTGAAATGATCACTACGCGTATTCAAAGGATCGTAAAAGGGAGGCTTTTACGTGTCAGGTAAAGCATACTCCTCCAGACTTGCGTTTATGGTCATTTTAGCCATACGAGGTGGGATGCCTGCCCTGACTGTCGCCAGTTTTTCCGGCTATATCCGGCAGTTCAGGTTTCGCCGCCAATGAAAAAACCATGTGTAGGTACCCGTGTTCGAGTGTATTAGGTGCCTTCGTTTTTTGGTGGGGCTGAACAGTTCGCACCCAAAGCCACATTTGACTTCAGTGCGGCAAACCACTCTACCCTCAGACTATTATTCCTAGATTAGTGAGCATTTCGCCAACACTCACTGGGGGCTACCCGTATTAATTGCGTTCCACTACATCTGGTTTCAGAGCATTGCCTCTTTTAAATACAAAATCCATAGCGAACCTGCCGAATCAAGATGTAGCGAGTAGCGGCCCAAGCTACACTCAGACACCTTCTAATTGCATGTTCGATTTAATTAGGGAATACAAAAGTATTTATAACTTGTTTTGTATGTCGTTGTTGTGCAGGCTAGCGTTAACTAGATTCAATCTGACGCATGTTGTGTGCATCTGCACTACATGCTATGTGCAACTAGCTGTGAATGCTCGCACTTTTCATAGAGTGCGGTTAGGTGAGCCCTACCTGCTCCTCTCCTCTCATCCCAGAACTTTTCAAAGTGCCGGCACGAAAAGTCGGGGGTTCTTTAGAAAAACGCTCAAAAGCTTCTGCTCACGTTCGTATGGAGTCTGGATATAAGTGTCTCCCTAAGTAGACTACAGATGAAGCACCATTCTCTGGCTGTAGATGCAGTGGAGTATCAGGCTTCTGTACATTTTCTTGTAGAGCATGTCTACTTGCAGTGATTACTCCAGTCCAATACTGTATGCGAAGTCTGACTCATCGGATTTCACAGAGATCGGCAGAAGAGCAAGTTTCGAGAGAACTGAGAGATAAGAGTTAAGGGAACCTGTAAATAATTTGGTGTTTCGAGAAATAGGAACTTTTGTTTTTCAAATGTCACAACTTACAAAGAACTGCAGTACGAGCAGGTTCTTTCGAAGGTGGTCGCATGACGGGCAATGAGTGACAAATAAATGACAGATCTGTAGGCTGTCTGCAAATGAGGATCAACTTCGGATTCCAAAAGCGTGTGAGAGCACCTCGTGCATCTGTTGCTAGAAAGACTAAGAGCTTAGTCGGAATTTAGAACCAATCGATGTCAGGGGTGTGTCCGCCATCCCTAGTCTCTAGTCGAAGGTGGATGAGCAAATATATCAAGAGAGAATTCACGCGGGTAAACATCTCCAGATGTGACCCCCAATAAGGCTCTGGCTTCCACTGTAAGAGATTGGATCGTAACGTTCAAAACTACGGGCACATTGAAAATGCCAATTAACTTCAACAACAGGATTAGGCCCAGCGGAAGCAGGTTGGGTAGCGAGCAAAGAAAGCCCATTAGAGATGGGATTATCCCATACATACTGAGCAGCAGTGAAAGGGGCTAAGGAGAATAGAGTCCCATTTGGAGACCCACCGGGGGTGACTTCTATGCTGATACAAGTGCAAACTAGTGGTTAGGAACTGCTGACAATACTTGCTGCTGAATGTGAAATGGTTTTGGAGCTCGAGGAGACGGCGCAGAAGTGCAGTCTGTCTGCTCACTCGTTACTGCAGTTCCATGACTTAGGTGTGCTGACGAGTGACAGAACGCAAGGACTGGCAAGGGTACGGCATTTATATGCAAATTTAGTTAAAATCGGGTCCTACCAACGTTGGTTTCTTACATGGTAGGCTTGTACACCACGAAGCTTTCTTAGGTACGCTAGGGTTGACCTAGTAACAGGGGCGCATGCGGCCAGTGCTGCGCGCTATGAAGGTTAGTGTGCCAGGCTGCACTACTAAGAAGTACTCCCTACTCTTCCCGACAGCGGCCATCTCCTTTATGGTGAACGGGGTGGAATCGACACCTCATCAAAGAGAGACAAAGCTTCATGCCGGCACCTCAGCAGTGCAGTAAGAGAAGAGGATCTCTAGCCTGCATCCCTTGTGCTGGCTTTGCAGCTGGCTATCTATGAGGAGTTCAGTTCGGGCTTCACTCGGGAAACACACTAGTGAAAATATATTGAGGGTTGCTTGAGCTAGTGCTACACAATGACGAGCTCCCAGCAAGGTGGCTACCTGTTGGTCGTCCGGTGCAGCGTGTTGAGCTATTTATCTATAATTCGGAACCGTTCAAGGTTTCGCGGTAGTAGATCTCTCCAGAGCATGACTAGTGGACTTCGGGGGGCAAGCGAACGATCTGTTGAAGAATGGAATTGTGCAGAATCCGACCAGCACTTTCAAGCGACCCGGTGTAGGTGCCGAAAAAGGATGAAAGGAGGAGCACGCGCATAAACTTGGAGCCCCGAACAAGAATACTGTGAAGCTTAGATTTCCGCTGACTCAAGTTGATGGATTACCTAACTCTGTACGGCTCAATCATATACTCGACATTTGGTTTCACAAAAGCTTTGTTACAAATCCCCACTCACCCAGTTGCACGTAGAATAACGTGTGCCAAACTCACACTCGCATCCTCAAGTATATCTCGATGCCGTCTGAAGTTGCAAATGCCCCATCTGGGTCGGAACGCTTAGTTAATCGCTGTTTTCTGGGTCTGTTAACAGTGTTGGACGATGGCTCTCTACATGGACGACGTTTTGGCATCTAATGCAACCGTTTTCTGCACTTCCAACTCTTACGACGTGCACTCCAGTTCTTGCGGGCCAAGCAGTGGTACATGAAGGAATGCAGGTGACTGTTTCTCATGCAAAACAATTCTGATTCTGATATTTTGTGCTTCGGCTGCGGAAATTGAACCAGATTCGGCAAAAGTCGGAGCAACCAAGGGTGGGCCTTTACGTTTGCGCATCTTCAAGAAGGCTGCAAAGTTCTGTGGGCTCAGGACTGAGAGCGTGTTTTTGATTGCTGAATTTAATAGAATCGCTGATGCCTTAATTGCTTTGCCGAAGAGAACGCAGTCTATGAACTGAACAGGGGGGGCTGATGCCGCAGCGAAGTCTCTTTTCAGCCACCTTACAGCTCCTCCTTTCCTTGCGCCGCCTCATTTAGCGCTATATTCCTTCCTAGCAGCCGATGCAGGGGATGATAGGGTAGGTTTCATTCTCTCCCAACACCCCATGGGTTCTTCATGAGATCGAAGTGTTGCGTGTTGCCTTAAAGCTTTACGAAAGCGAACAGCGGTTTCCATGGTAGGAAAACACACTAGGTGGTGGAACGGGGTACGGAACGATGATAACAATATTTATAGGAATGTCACTTTGTTATCTATCAGTGCACCCCACGAAATTTCATAACTTTAATAATCTTGGCGTTGTTCACTGGCCTAGGCGTTTCGTACAGGATGGCTTTCCAAGCAAGTACATCACACGCATCACTAACGTTGTTGACGATACAATATCTGCATTTAAATGTAGGCCGTGGATGCAGTATAGTTAATTCTCAGCCTCAACAGAGGCCCAAGGGGGCGCATAGGGAGAAAGTACCTGAGAGAGCCTGCATGTAAATCAGAATGTTGTGAACACCCTAACAATGGTAAACCGGAACATTTTAAGAAATAGAGGTAGGCGATGCTGCATATTTTAGGCAGAGCACACGCCGTACATTGCCCTCCTACAATGACCGTACCATAAGGAGCAAATGTTTCTCCTTACGGGGGAATACAAAGCGAGGCGCATTTCTAACCGCCTGTTTAATTATGTGTACTTGCCCACACTTTCGGTCATCATACTTTTCAATTAATCATAACCTTATTGACGCATCCAAAAAATGTTCGACTTACACATCATACGCTTACATCAGCTTGCAGGCCGGCATCCGTCTCGAATAGAGATGGCACAGCCGTCGACTCCCTTTCCAGAGGGTTTCCTCTTCAGGCTGCTGCCGAAGAAAAACAGATTATTGGACTACCAGTTTAATTGATTTAAAGCAGACATGTTTTGGGGAAATCCTGACATTATCCCGCATTCACACCAAGTGGATGAGCGGAGAACAGCTGGGTCGAACCATGCGGTGCTAACAACTATAGCACTCCGTGTATGGTGTCGACAGGGAGCCACCTACCTAATACGCGGTATAATCTCAGTAGAAGGTCATTCAATGTTTCCTCAAGAGCTCCAGCCCTTCCTGCCTGCAGCTCTCCGAGTTCCTGATACGATGGGACACGAAAAGTTCAGTTTCACCGTTTTTGCACTTTGCATATTCCGTTTGTTGTACATTTCCTCTAGCGCGCATGCACACATCGTTGCCTTATTGTATGGATGGGCTTGGAAATATAAGATATACGGATGTACGGACTAATTTTTAGTTACCACTGTAGTTGAAAGTGCCGCAGTACACCATAGCACGGTTCGCTCCTTCGACGTGCCCCCTAGTTTCCGAGGCGTATGGGTGAAGTGAGTGCGGGATAGAGAGCGCTCTTAGGAACTACACTAGGCCTGACTTTTCAGATCTCGGCTGTAGACATCCTAAAAACTGTGGAGTACGTCAGAAAACGTGTACATCTGCTATCCCCATGTGCACGATCAGGTTTATCTCCTCTTTAAATGGCATAAGCCTGGGCTGAAGGAGGTAACTAGCAGCATGAGTGCCGGTAGCAGGACTCCCCGAGTAGTCTGGAAAGTCACTTAGTCTCTGGGTCCCCCAAATACGTCCGCAGCAGAGACCCGTGCTTTTCGCGTGCTACCATGCCATGAAATTAATGCAGCGTACGGACACCCGAACCACACAGCCAACTGTGGTAAATTCTTGCTAAAATACAGGAAACTGTAGAGGTAACAGTTTAATAATGACCCATTTAACGCAGTACGCTCCACGGGGGCCCTGCAATGCCAGCGGTGGGGCGCCTGGAAGGAGGGGGCTATGGAAGTATATCATCTGTCGGATAGTGCAGCACTCCCCCAAATTTGATATTATAGAGTCATCCTGGTGGTTGAAGGGAGAGAAGGAAGAAGAGGCCTGTCATCTGACGCACTATGGCCACCGCAGCCCCACGACCCAGCCACATGCGTTCCTACAAGAACGCCCAACGTTTTCCCGGAACCCTCGAGAGGTATATTTGTACCGATTTCCTCTTTAATTCGGATGGTTTTAATGGGTTTTCCGAATAAGTAGCCGCCACAATGGATGAAATGAGAGGTTAGCCGCGCTGCATTTTCTTGGTGTCACTACATCTCGTGCAATTGCCAGAGCGGTGGCCTTCTTCTTTGGTGGCCCATTTTTTCTTCGCTTTCATTGATGCTTGTCGCTGGGGCTACGCTGCTTCATGTTCCGGGGGCTTCAGTTCGCCCGGGGCACCTCAAGACGGGATGCAGTAGCTTGAGGGAGGGCTCTTTTCGTGCATCCAGCGATTGCGTCATGGCTGATCTTCTGCATGCACCATGGTGTGCGTGCGACTGACAGTGGGTGGGGTTGATATTTGCCTCGTAGCTCACGAGGTGTCCGCAACTACCTCCATGCTTGTAGGGGTTGCCATTTTGGGTGCAGGATGTATATATGCATTTCTTCTGTGCAGCGACGCTCGACTCCCTCATGGGGAGGGACCGCAATGAATACGGTGCAAATGCGAAGAAGGGTACTTCGTTCAAGGGGGAGACCGTAAGTGTTGTCATCCTATGTATGTCTGTACAGGATTTTAATGCGTTTGGAGAGTAGTTGGGGACGTGTGCTCACGTTCTCTGCTCGTAATTAAGGGAGGCGCGAGGGCATCAGGATGGGGATGCAAGAATTAGGGCTGGGCGCTTGTTGTTTCTCAGATATGCAAGTTCTTCTTGTTGGACTTCTGCCCCCATGATCTGTTCCCGAACACCCGCGTTGATCTTGGCCCGTAAGCTTTGGGGTTATCCGCATTGCTTCGTTTGTCAGGATCGGCTTCCACTGGCGCATTCGGAGCGCGCCGTGTCGCAGCCACATGGTGCATGCTCTGTGACTGTGTTTTCGTATGCATGTCTTTGCGTAGGTGCGACAGAGAGCATCGCGCCGATCTTAAGGTTGCTTTTGAAACGGATCCTGAGCGGGAGTTTTACCAGGCTCTGTTTGAAACGGAGTTTGCACGTACGCCTCACGGATATGCTTCAGACAGTCTGATTTATCAGTTTCCTCGTGCGCACGCATCGATGCTAGGCTAGTGGGGCGAGTATGTGTATCGGGAGGCCCTTGGGGATTAGGGTGTGTATGCAGGCTACCTGCAGCGCCTTGTAGATCAAATGGAAAACCGAATCAAGAGGGTTCAGCAACGAATCGATGCCAATAACCAACCAGTGGAGCTTAGCAAAGAGAATGAAGAGCGGTACATTAGTAGACATAAGTGAATGCGGATGCTGCACTCTCACAACCCGCTGCCCAAGGGGCTTTGCTAGAAAATCTCTAAATCTGGTGCACGGCCAGAGCTGTCAGGTCGCCTCTGGTCGTATCGACCACTAGAAACGGACTGTCAAGGTTCGAGGTTACGGGGCAAAGCGTTTGGGAGCGATGCACAGCGTTGGACGGGAGTGTCGTGTGTTGCTGCGTTTTGTGGGTAGCGTGAACTCGATGAATGCAGAAATCTCGGAGCTTCTCAAGCAGCAGGATGAGGCGGGCTCAAAGGTAACCTCTCTTGAAGGTTTTGGGTCTAGGTAGAGGCAGTTTCGTAGCTGGCATGCCGTGCGAGAAATTTATCCAGCTAAGGCGAGTGGGGGGTGTAGGGCTGAGGATGCGGGTGTTTTGGTGTCTTCAGGGAGACATCGATGCTGCGGAAAAGTTGAATGAGAAGGTTGCCTTTCTTCAGCGCGAAGTGTCCAGGTTCGCATACCCCTTAAACTCGAGACCGTACAGTTGTGCTTGCTAGCGTTTGTGTGGAGGCTTGGCAGGAGGCTGTCGGCTTAGGGGTAGGAGGGACAAGTGTTTTTTGATGCGTTTGCAGACTAAAAAACCCGAATGCGGATATAGCTACCATTCGGGAGTCGCAACTACGGGTAAGCCTTTTCAGCAGCGTTGGGTCATATGTATCAGCACTTCAACCCAACGGTTTGGTGGTCACGTCTCTGTAAGCGTTTATTGATCGTCTGTTCTAGCGGGCTCTCGAGGCGCTTCAAAATATAAATTATGTGATTGCGCGTTCGTGCATGCGCAAAATCGAGTGCCCTGCCTCCAGTTGTGGTACCTTCTGACTGGCTGTTGGGCGCTATATAATGTGCGTCTGAGTATCTCTGTGCGTGTATGTATGTGCATGTGTATGTGTATATGTGTATGTGTATATGTGTATGTGTGTGTATGTGCATGTGTATGTGTGTATGTGCAGGTTTGCGCAACTTGTGGAGCGATGCAGTCTACAGGTGACGCTATGTGCAGATTCGAGTCGCACGTATCTGGGAAGCAGCACCGGGGTTGTGAGCGCATCAGGTCGAAGTTGGCGGCCCTCAAGGAGACGGAGGCGGAACGGGAGGAGGTTTTGAAGAAGTATCAAGGGAAGCAGGCCGAAGTAGCTGCTGCGAATACCCTTAGCCTAAAGCGCGAAGCAGGGCAGCGCGATCGAGAGCTTCAAGCGGATAGGGAGCGGGAACGAGATAGAGAGGAAAGGGGCAGTGGCCCACCGAGATATAGGCGTTCGAGGGAGGGGGGGCACGGGGGTCCACCCTCTGAATACGCGTCTAGCAGGGACAGGCGGCGCGAGCGCGAGCGCGATAGGTACTACAGTAGCAGAGATAGGGAGCGAGAATATCGCGATAGGGACTATAGGGCCCATAGAGATAGAGAGTACAGCGGCCGAGACAGAGACCGCTACCGCAGTGGGGAGCGAGATCGCGAAAGAGAAAGGTCGCGGTACAGCACGAGCTACCGATCGCGCGATCGCTCTCGAGACAGATCCCGTGAGCCTATATACCGCAGCAACGGTTACCAACGAGAGGATTCCCATAGAGAAGGCGGATCAACCCCAGCGAAAGGCAGCGACAGCCGCGGAGACCCTAGAAACGCCTTGAAGTCGTTTGTACATGCTGGTCAATCCGGCAGCGGCAGGATGCCAGATCACGAGTAGAGAAGCACGCATGCGGATTTGATTTCAGTTTGGATTTTGGGCTTTAGAAGAGACATTGCGGCGATTTGCGAACATTGTCCACTTAAGGGAGATTCATTTTTCACGCTCTGAAATTCGCTGGGACAGCGGAACAATCTTTTGCTGTGGCCCATCCATCTCGTCCTTTTCTCTCTGCCGCTCTGGCGGCTAACCATCCCTCCGCTGTTGGCTCTTAATATGCCTTGCACTTTCGTCTCTACTCCTCTGGCTTCAGCAGTCGTTTCAGGGATCGTGACCCCACACCTAGGCGGCCCCTGAGGCTTTCCTCATATGGCTGTACGCTCCCCGTTTTCTTTCTGCACTCGTCACTAGCCACTTGAAACACCCGCTTCACAATGCACCTCCCGCCTCTCGACTCTAACTCGCCTCGTCTCAGTGCGACCCCTTGGTCTGGCAATCTTTTCTGGGCCCTTTCTCTCCCCGTGCCGGAAGGAATATGCCTAGGCACCGCCACGTATAGGGTCATGTGTATGAGCGGCGTTGTGTTAGAGTTCGGTCATTAGGCCCCAAGGAAAAGCATTTAGCTTAAGGCCACAGCGCGAAACGGGGTCTACTGTCAGTTCCCAGGTCGTCTAGCAGCACCTGCTAGTGCTAGTGCAACAATACAGCCACGTAGAACCTCCCATGCTCTACTCGTCGTTGGGTGTAATAACGTCGTCAATCTTTAGGATCATCTTCACCACCTGCGCACGAACAAAACTCTGAGCAGCTAGGTGTATATTCGAAGAACCGTCCGTTTCGAATTCTTGCGGAGTGGAATACCCCTGGTGCTAACTTCTTGATCCCCGAGGGATGTAAATACGCGCGCGTACACCCCATATCTGAGTGTAGCGTCGAGAGAGGTGCTACGAAGGCGGGCTCCCTCTCTAGTGAAGTGTTTGAGACAAATACTGATATTCGTCATGGTCTCCATGAACCCACCTGTGTGGCCAGCAGAATCTGCTGCTGTTTGGATGCGAAGGGCTCCCAAACTTGTTGCTGGCGCATGTCGTTCGTACCCTGTGCACACACAAACGATAAAATGGGGGGTTTACGCCCTTTAGTGGCGGGTGTAGTCTGGCAAAACAAAGCATCCGTCTTCTTTTCGCGCTTAATCCCACCACTGTGTCCATAACTTTCTGCAGCCTCTGCCCCGCCTACCCCGTGTGCAAATCACACCCGATCAGCTTCCGTGGAATGTGTACGTCTATGTACGTATATGCGCGTGCGTCTCACGGTTTGCATGCAATCGATTCCGTAGTAAGGACAGTCTTGCTGCTGCTGCATGGCCTTGACACGCTGTACTTCTTGGATGGCACTAAGGCCAGAGTTTGCGGCCAGAGCTTCAGCAACTCCGAGCAACGCCTCCCCGAATGCGCGAGCTGCATACTGAGAGACGGAAGGGATTCTGTCTGCGGCCGCTTCAACTGCTCTTGCTGCAGCAATCTCCGATGCGCCGCCCCCCGACACCACTCGACCATCCCTCACGAGGGCACTGACCACACAAAGTGCATCGTGCACCGAACGCTCCGCTTCAGCAACTACCATTTGATTGCCCCCGTAGACCACCAGCGTGACGGCTCGTGAGTTGCTGCAGCCTGAGTCGGAAGAGCACCCACAACGCGAGCGCCATAAGGCAAGAACAAGCGAGAGCGACGCCAGAGAAACACAGAACCGCTACCCCCCACCACGGCACACCTACGGAGCAGCCCAAACCCTTGCCCATGCTATTCCATCTGTCGCTCCCTGCTTCGAGGCACCAGCATCTAGCCACGCAGGAAGAACAGCGCTCGCAGCAGCTAATCTGCCGTCGGTGTACCTTCTATCACGATCATCTTGTCACCCATAGTGCCCGTGCAGATCTCTCTTATGCAGCCTGCCCTCCCAAGTTTGCTCGGCTCAAGTTCTGAGACTCGAGGAACAATTCGGCCTTTGCTTGCAATGGCAACGAGCTCCAGCTCTACGCCTCCCACCCAACGCACCGCTGGCACGCCCTCGGCCAGGAAGAGGTGGTTGGCTTCGTCGTCAAAGCCCCACTGGCATATCACCTTAGGCAGAGACAGAGGAGCCGAGCAGCATGCACGACACAGAAACTCTGTGGCAGCTGTCCATGGATGGAGTTATCACGGGCTGCAAAGGAATTCTCTGCAATGCAGCCACACGGCACCAGCAGAAAAAAGCCTATTCTAGCAGAAACGAGGCCCGAAAAATGTACTGGAGGTGGTACGCACAAAATTAGCGCCAGCTTCCTTGACGCGCTGAATCATATCCTTGAAATACTGCTGTTCGGCGGCCTGAAGCTTTTTGTAGTCTTCCGCATTCTTGATGTCTAGCTTGTGCTTGGTTTTCGGCTTGGGAGGCTCGAACGGACAGGTGAGGATTGCGATACGCGCATCATTAATTTCTTTTGGCATCTGCGAATGGCTCAAATCCTTGTGAAGCACAATTCCCCGAACTAGGGTCGACTGTTCAAGAAGGCCACCAGCGCGGCCGTCCAACTGCAAACGGGCAAAAAAACATGGTTGAAATCGACACCATCATCATCCTCGAATATCCCCATGTACTGACACCCCAAGGACCTCCAAGGCGCAAAGACACTCTGCATGACGCACCCCCTAGCACATCGGCCCACCCGTTCAAACCAGTCAAAAAAGCGTTGCTAAAGGGATATTCATACACATCCACACGTGAATGCACATATATTCATGCATACACACACACGCCTACACGCACATAGCCTCGCCCCCTTTCCACCCTCCCTATGTCTACAGTCTAAAGAATTAGGATTTCGATTTTGAGGGTATATGACCTTGATCATGTCGAGATTCACGTCCCGCCTTTCCTTATCAGCCACCGCAAGAACAGCTTCAACGCACAACTCCGCGAGGCGCTCCTTGCAGCTGCTAACCACTTTGGAACCTAGTGCCGTCTTGGCTGTCTGCCGCCTGTCAAGACACCACACAGGAGGCTTGCAGGTGCAACGCTCTCCAAGACTGTATCCCATAAAACCCCCGAGACGCATCTGTCCGCTTTAAGACATAATCTCCACCACTGACAGACGCCTCCAACTCCATCTGTTGGCTCCCCTTTCGGCCCCTTTTCGCCCTCCTTCCCGCAAGTAGCTCTCGTAGACGCATCGTAACCTCAAAAAAGGCCCCTCCCTCCATACATGCGCATGAAGCACGAACTCAATTCTTGGAGAACAGTAAGGGCGCGTCAAAAAAACCGCAGTATCAGCCAAGAGGACGCATGCTCTCTCTTACAGAAGATCCTGATCCTTGTCCAAAACGTCCTTCTGGATCGCCGCCTTCTCAAGGGCTTCAACTGCAATCTGCGCCGCCGCTTCAAAGCCGTCAGCAATGCGAAGCGGGTGCAGTCCCTTCTCTATTAGACGTAAGGCCTCCGATAGCAAATTTCCTTGACATAAAAGACAGCAATAAAAAAAAAACATCATCGGGAGGCACAAGGTGCACGGAGGCTGGCCTCGAGACAGCGGTCAGAAATCGCTTGCGCAGCGCATACGTCAGACAGCTCCGGAGACGTACTAACTAGGGGCCGCTTTTTACGGCCTTTCGCCTAGACTTACCCGCAAGGATAACAACTCCAGTAGTGCCATCACCGATTTCTGCATCCTGGGAACGCGACAACTCCACAAGTAGCTTTGCGCACTGATGCTTGATCTGCAAAACAGGTGCATGCGCAAAAAGATCGGAAGTCTTAGCCCGCGGTCCACTGCCTTTCGAGGCTGCACACTTCGTAAAAAAAGCGAGCGCCTTCGTACAATGGAATGTGGCAGTGTGGAGGGTTCCCCCTCCCCGTTGGCGCTGAGAAGGGCTGCTGCTTTTTGCAGACCTCTTTCTGAGCAACGCTACAGCCAGTGCTGAGGGCCCTTAAGGCAAGACACGAACGCTAGCTGAAAAAAATGGCCTCGAACGTAAGATAGGGGGCCTTACCTGCATTTTATCCAAAATACAGGCGCCGTCATTCGTCACGGTGATGTCTCCGTCGGGGCCTACCACGAGTTTATCCATGCCCTTAGGACCCAATGAGGAACGCAGAGAATCTGCCACGGCTTTTGCAGCCGTTATGTTAGCCTAAGAGCACCGCAAGCATCGAATCTGGACGAACTGCAAGCACTTTGGCGTCGTCAAGGGGTACATGCGAGACTACACCCCGGGTATTGTGCTGAAGAAGCCCGCAATACGAGTCCTTTTGAGCGAGCCAGAAAAGGAAAGGAAGCGCTGCCCCCCTAGCAAGATTGTTCGGTGCGCAGAAGGCTCTTTGTCACGCTTTGAGAGAACCCTCTCCCTTTTTGTCGTGTGCAGAGCTTGCCTTGTGCGCATCGACACCCTTGAGGCGTTTCTTCTCTTCCTGCTCCCGCAGTATGATGAAGGGATTGCCGAACTCATCCGTGGCGATATTCATTTTCTCTGAAAAGCACAGACACCTGCAAATTTCGGACCCCACCCTATGAACCCCCCAAAAGCTCAACCGCAGGCTTGACGGATTCGAGAGGGAAGCGCCTGTCTACGAGATCGCCCCTTTTATCCACCACTCCCCGAGCGTTTATTCCACCATGCAAGGTGACGACCAGTATGTCGTCTGTCTTGACACCCGGAAAGCCGTGTTTCATGAACGATAGAGCGCATGCAGGGGTCCCACGGCCATTGCCGGTCTTCCCGCGCAAAGCGAGAAACAGCATGTCCACTCAGCAGACTCAACGCAAGTCTGTGGTTTAAGTTTTAGCGCTGCAGCCTTGAAGCTCTTTGCAGCGCGGGAAAGCCGACACATCGACGTACGGGCCGTGGAGTTAGAAATCCTCAGTGGTGCATGAAAAGACCCCTCAAATCAGGCACAAGCCGAGGAGTTCAGACAGCTCGGCCCTCAAAAACACTCGCAACTATCGAACACAACCAGTCTGCCTTTCAAAGTAGAGACAAACCGACTCGCATCGCAGCAGAACGGCAACAACTCCCTCCCAGGGTGGGAGTGAGAGAGAGGCCCGCAGAGCTTCTACGGGGCTGGAGGGCGGACTGTGCCCTCCTTACTTATTCTTGAAATCACTGCTACTAATCTTAAACCCTTAACCGCAAGATATTGGCATGCTCTGTTAAGTTCACTCGCGCCTTTTCGCGTCTGCCTAACCCGCGTTGAGGTTTCTGGCCTCACTCGGGAGCTCCCACGGAGAGGGTCTCCTGACAGGTAAGCCACGGCAGAGGACGGGAAGCGCGTCGCTGTTTTACACGCAAAAACGCCAACTGAAAGACTCAAGACTTGCGGCAGCTGAGCGCCACGTGCGAAGCTCTACACCCTCCATGAGTATCGCAGTCCAAGACACACGAGAAACAGCCAGAGTGATCCAGGGGATTTTTGCCGCGGCCTCTCCAAATTTCGGGTGTCGCTACTACTCTTTTCCTTTTCAGTACTTAAAAACGGAGCCAAGGGCCTAGACCGTTCACGCGTTTGTCAACTGATCCCCCCTTACAACCTCGAAGAAAGGGCGCTATCCGAGCTCGTGTAGTCGTGGAATGCCCGACTTGGCAGCGAAACTCATCATGAAGGAGTGCCACCACGCTCTTCTGTGTGGCTTGCCACGGGTCTAGTGCATGAACCGCCATAATGAGAATCATCAAAGGAGCTTCAGCAGGCGTTCATAAGGCCTCACCAGCACCGCAAAAGAAGGGCTCTTCCTAATGATGATGCGTGGAGCGTACAAGTGTGCCAAAAAGCACTCACCCACAACGACGCCTTCTGCTGTATGTACACCATGGGTGCAGATGCCTGGGTAATGGTTGGCTGGGGCCATGATGCTCCTGCTGCCGCGGGGGGGAGTCTGCACGGTCCATTGCTCGGCGGAGTTGCAAAGAGCTTGCTGCTGCTGCTGCAGCATCAGATGCTGCATGCCAAGGAGAGGCAACAGCAACAGCTGCATTCAGAAAGCCCGTGCTGCAGCGGCTGCTGCGGCAACCGATGCAGGTTCGGCTGTACTGCCCCTTGCCGTGTGCCCGAACAGCACCAAGAAGCAGCAGTGGCTGCTGCTGCTGCACTTCTGCAAAGAGTGTCTGTGCATCCCGTGCAGCTACTGCTGCGTTCAAACCGCCCCACAAGGGAGGGCGCAAGGCCTCTTCAGGGGTTGCTGCTGCCTGCTGCAGAAGCCAGGCAGTGGCGTCAAGAGCAGCAACAGCAAGAAGAGCAGTGGCACTTGGTGCCTGAAGAGGGTCGCGCCTCTTCCCTAGTGGCATCAAACGAGCTGATTCTGCTCTTAGACAGCTCGGCAGCAGTCCCCTCAGCGACGACCACTGCCCCTGCTTCTGCGGTAGATGCTGCTGCTGCATCCGTGGAAGCAATTGCTGCAGAACTGGCTGGCCCTGTTGCGCTGCTGCTGCATTCCCACGCCTCGCATGCTGCACGTCTCAGCAGCAGTAGTGGCACGCAGTGCTGCTGCTGCTGCATGACGCTGCTGGCGGAAAACTGGTTGCCCCTCTTGATCGGCAGCAGCCTGCAGCAGCAGCTCCTCCTGCTGCGAGCGCAGGGCATCCATGCAGCAGCGGCCAATTTGATGCAACAGCCAGCACAGCAACAGCTGCAGCAGCAGCAGCAGCAGCAGCAGCAGCAGCAGCAGCAGCAGCAGCAGCAGCAACGCCTTCAGAATTCGGGACAGCTGGACACGCAGAGAGACTGCGATGATGATAGCCATACCAGCAGCCCCCCCACTAGCAGCAGCACTTTGCTTTTCAGCAGCAGCAGCGCAGCGGCAGCCGCAAGAGAAGTCAAACTTTCTCTCCAGGAAGCAGCTGACGTAGATCGCTATTTCGCTTCTTTGGAGCTCATGGAAATAGACGGCTCTGCAGGCACTCCTCCAAAGCCTGCGCCGCGACTCCCCTACGTGATGATTCACCAACAGCAAGTGCAGAGCGGCAACAGCAGCAACAGCAGCAGTGCAAGCAGCCGCTGCACTTGGGGGGAATCGGCTGGCAGCGTGCACGAGCACTTGAGGCAGCTCGAGCGCCAACTCCCAGGCTGGCGACTCCCCACGTGGGAATCTGAGCAGTGCGCGAGGGCGCGAATCGCCTCGGAAGTCTTACAGGGACTAACTGTCCGGCCAGACAGCAATAGAGGTAGCCAGAGCTGCAGTAGAGCAGACGACAAAACCAGTTGCGCGCCATCAGGAAAAGCTTTGCGGATCCTGCCCACAGCAGCAACAGAACCCACAGGACCTGCAGCAAAGGCGGCAGCGATCTCTGCTCCAACAGCAGAAGCACGAAGTGGCTTGTTGACTCCGATGATTCCGCATGGTTGTCGTCTCCCCCGTCTAAGTGCTCTGCCAAGTTGGCTCAGAAATCTCCCGGATTTCGTTGATCGGCGCATGCAGTCTGGCAGGTATGTGTAAAGTATACATATATATATATATATATATATATATATATATATATATATATATATATATATATGCTCCCCTTTTGAATAGGCTTCGGGAAATATGGTTAGAAGCTAGAACTGACATTTCAAATATACTGTAGATCTCTTGTTGCAGTAAGAGGTGTAGAGGTGAGCGTCAAGTGAAGCCGGTAGACAGCTCGAACAGAAAGGGAATTATCACCAAAACTTCAGAGGGTGTTGTGCGACCAGGCTTGGAGAGTTGCTGACCTTTACCAAAGTTCTTCCACAAGAAGTCTGCAGACACTTCGGGTTCGAGATTTCCCGCATCGTTGAGGTCAGTTTTTTGATTCGGTTGCGCAGGCTGCGGCACCTGCAGTCCTTGCTGTTGTCGGTGGCGTTTCACACGGATGCTGCTGTGCTTTTTGTCACAGGAAAGCGACTGCCTGTGGTCTGTAGATCGCGGCCAAAAGAGTCTCTCAGCAGCCGAATCAGCAAGTGAACAAGTAGTCGTTGAAAAGGTTATTTGCTTTTGGCTGAATGGAGCTCAAGAGAGCGGCCTTCCTTTTGATCTGGTGCTGCGACTTCGCCACACAAACGGGAGTGAGGAGGTCCTTTATATCGAGGTCAAGACCTCCCTCCTTGTATGTGGTAACTCTAACGTATACACACTCTGTATAGGCAGTAAGAATTATTAAGTACACTGGAGGTGGGCAGTGGGACAGCGCCACACACTACGCATCACACGCGGATGCGCCCATGCAGGGCTTTGCATCTAGCGGTTAGTGCTTGCACTGGCACACATTCCGAAGCGATAATCTCAAATCAGCACAGCAAAATTAGTATCAGGACTGCATTATCAACAGCTGTTTTGAGGGCGGCTTTCTTGTGCCTTCACAGAACAACTGGGAGTTTTGCCTATCCTTCCCGCAACTGCAGTTTGCGGCCTCACACCCGAAGAACTATGTGTAAACGCAAGAAACACATCCTCCTTATGTGTAAAGGCAGTTCAGAAAATTAGCCTTACCAGTAAAAAGTATAGAACTACACACACACACAGAGTTCCACTATGCACTGGTTTGCTTTCTTCCTGCATATGTGCATGCGTGTTCTCGTAGAATTTTGGTAATCTCATCACTTCGGTCGGGAGCTCCTCGTTGGGCGGCTATACCAGACGTTTCTTCTTCCATCGGGCTGTCCCGTTTATGCTCTCCTGAGGGGAGCAACACAGGGGGAGCCCCCGAGGCAGCTGATGGGGAAGTTGGAGGTGTAGAAGTAATGTAAGGGCCTTATTGTACATGTCTGTGGTCTTCCCTGCCTACATGTATCTCATACTTCCAGCCTGAGCATTTCCTCGCGCGTGTCAGTAGCTGACTGCTCGTACTTGGCAACCGAATTCAATAATTAACCTGCACTTTTTAGTAGCTCATCCATCCTCTTGATGCCAACTTCAATCGTGCGCTACGATCTGTCACTTTCCGGGTCCACCGCTCCCTCTCCACTATCTCTTAGTCCAAGAGCATTCCTATTGCTGCACTTGTTTCTCATGGTCTCGATAACCACCATCCAATCCTGTACTACGGGCGCCATACGTTTGTTGTTGATGGCTTTAAGTGTGGCGATTGGGTGTTTGTGGTGGGTTCTTTCAGCCATCTACGGTGTCGCTGCTGCCTCCCCACCCAGTCCGTTCCCGAAACAAGAGGCGGAGAGTAAAGGGCTTATTTCTGCCTACGCTACTGCTGATTTGTCAAGCTGTGCAGTCGAGACTATCTCTTATTCCTGCTGAGACTTCAGGCCCCAGAGAGTGCAGGTTCCCCCAGGCCGACGCCGCAGGGAGCGCCCGAGTCGTGGTTCACGAAGAACATTGAGCATTTAACAAGCACTACAACGGTAGGGTGCAAAACCAGCACTGGCACTTTCGATGCTCACTTGTATTCCCTCGTTCTTGCTCTACCTGAAGCCGTCCGCCGCAAATGCGGAAGCACAAGAGATCTGTAGATTCAGGTGGCTGCAAAAATAGTATCGCCTTATTAGCTAACACTGGCAGCTCACCAGCTTGAGGCTCAGCCTGCATGCGCGAACTCTGCAGCAAGCAGCAGCGGGCAGTTGGGGAATGGCCTTGACGGGCGAAGTGTTCCGAATGTCGTAGCCATTGAGGCCCCAACACCAGGAGTCAGTGCAAATCAAGACTAGCTCACAGCGACCTTGAACTACAGGGCCAGTAAGTCATTCGTAAGCTACTCCCTTCTCCTGTCGACTGCACGTTACAGGGGAAGTCAGAGATCGCAACGCAGAGGCTGGAAGCTTACCTGCTTGAGGCTCCATCTCAAAAGTCGGGGCGTTTTATGTGAGGAGTTGCCCTTGTGCTGGCATGGCATTGTACTGCTACTATCAGCATAATCGCCTGATGCCACGTTTTTTTACACACGTGTAACAGCAGTTGTAACGTTTGCCGTAAGGTCTTTGTAGGGAGGCACTTAACTTAAGACTCATATGAACTTGTGGAAAATATTTCAATGTACTCTAAGAGAGCTCTCGCCTTGCCCCGTTCGCGCCACTCAATGATCCTGTGAGAAAGAGAGAGGGGCAGCTAGTCCACGCGTAGTCGCGCCCTCCAAGCACCCCCAAAATCCACAGCTAGCACATATAAAACATCGAGCGCATATGCACACAGCATTCTGTTGTATCCTCTGGTACCGACTCAATGCGCACTCTCCAATAAAGATGATATTCGAACCGACAAACCGATTATTCAGTGCGCCTTTATAAGTTTACCAATGTAGTAGTGAGAAGTAATGTGTAGCTTCGCCCTCAAC